ATATTTTTTGGCTCAGGGGCCACCAATGTATGGAAGTTGAGCAATGTCCTTTAAAGAATACTAAAGATTCCAGTTAATTAGTTTAGATGAACTAAACACACGGTCATATTGCGAATATAAAATAGAAATTGTTTCATGACACTTTTGTTATTTGTTTACATCGGCAACTCTTTGATCCATTTTTAGGGTTCCACACCTAAAAGGAACGAGACCCTATTGCTATTGACTCCGCTGGCTATATAAATATATATGGAATAGGCTTTATCTCATTAAAGATGATAGTTATACATCTGAAATTTTACAGATGATATTTCTTTGTTGCCACTGTACAACAAACAACAAATACAGAAAATATATATATATTTAAGGGGCGCTTCCCAACACACATAATTTTTTGCGTTTTTCATAGATAATGCTACGAAACTCTACGTGCGCGAGTTCGACTCGAACTTGACCGTTTTTTATAATAAAAGAAAGTGTATGTATGTTCATGTAGGCCTGAGCATGCATATCTTAAGGAAAAGGCACAGCAAACTCTTCGATGCACCTCGGGTTCGTTTAAACATTTTTATTTACTTTACTCGCGAATGAGGAAATTTGTCGTCTTGGAGAGTTTTCCGTACTGAATGTTTGTAGTGAAACTGTTTATTTGTGTGCTTAGCAAATCTTACAGCCCAACGCTGTTTATCAGAAGGCCAATTCAGACAGTATTGCTATAGAATCTTATAAAATTCGAAGTAGACTAGTGTCACCAACTCTACTGGTTTAACAGTAGATTTGCTGTTTTCACATTAATGTCCCTATTTTCTTTTTCATTTCTAATTAATTTTACTGTCAATAAGGATGTAAACAAACCATAAAACAAAATATTTTCAAAAAGTTGTCTACGCCTCCATTAGCGTTCAGTGCACTTTGAAATATAATTCGAAATAACAAATTTCCATAAATTTGAAGCTAAAGAAAAGCACATTTTTAAAAGGAAAATAAGTCTGAAAATACAGCAGATGTGGCAATTGGAGATTGAAAGTGGAAAATAATTTATTTTTTTAATTCTTATGATGTCTTTTTTATTTTATTTTTTATTATTAAAATAAATTGTCTATTTACGTAAGTCCTGATAACTAATAAAAGTATGTGATTGTTTAATTTCGAGTAGAGTCTGAAATGTCTTTTTTATCGAATCTACTGTTTTCTCCTGTTTTTTTTTTTATTGATGAGCTGTGTAAGTTGAGATTGGCAGCACTGAACTAGACGCAAAGTTTGGATGGATGAAAGATGCCTGAGCATTGATAAAAATAAGCTTACTAGTAGCGAAAACTAATGAGTGCTTGAAAAATTCGTCAATCCTGTTGGGTCTCGATTGGCGCAATTGTTGGATCAATAACCCGGATTGGGAAAGGTTGCGGATTCGAATCCCATCTCGAGGTTACCTAGAACTGGTGGATTTGTATTTTTATTAAAGATATTTATCAATATAGCATTGTGAGTACAATATTTATCGAATATAATAATTTGGATGAATAATAACTTGTAGGACTCAATTTTTTTATTCACAATTACGAAAATTATACTGCGTGGATTATCTTTGCCTGAACATAATCAAGAGTTTCCTTAGAGATAACTTAACAAAGTTTATATTAAGCGAATAATTCAAATGGATAAAATTAATGATTTAATTAAGAAGAAAAGCGACGAAAAAGTTTCTGAAAGAACGGCTGCGTAGATTATGTGTGTACATTTATACAAAGCTGACATTGGTGCAAATTCTGTTGGAAGTACTCGTTAAGATTTATAAAGTCTTCAAATTAATTAAAAATAAATGGTATATATATATATATATATATATATATATATATATATATACCATATATATATATATATATATATAATATATATATATATATATATATATATATATATATATATATATATATATATATATATTAACACTAGCCTTCCGCCAGTAGCTTCGCCCACGTGATCGAGTTTTAAGTCTAGAAATGAGAAAATTCCATAAAATCTTTCATCCCCTAATTTTCCCACTTAGGGGTCGAATTTCGTAAAATCCCGTCTTAATGAGCACCTCCGTCCTAAAAAGAATCCGCATGCAAAATATGAAACTCCTAGCACTTGTAGTTTCTGAGATTTCGTAGTGAGTGAGTGACCTTTCGCTTTAACTTTAAAGTTATATTCTTACCACTTGCGATCAAAGATACGCCTTATAATATTAATAGAAAAATTATACAAATAAAGTCAAATTAAAATCAAAATGGTAAACAAAAAAGAATGCAATGATGACATGGCCATTAGACTTCAGATGGCGTTCATCTAGAATACTAGATTCCGGATGGCATTCCTAAATCAAGATGATCATGAGTGAGTCATGGAACTCGTGCCGGGATATTTAAAAAACAAAATAGAGGAATTTTGTATAAGAGGCTATGATAGTAAGCGCCTCACTTTAATAAAAATTTCTTGAAATATAAACTGCTTTTAAGGTACTTTTTTATTTTTTTTGTAAGTCGACTCTGTTTTCTTTATATTTATTATTTTACTTTTGGTATTGTATAAGGTTGCTACACATCAGATTCTCATAACTTCAAGATTTAAAAATCAATTGACAGTTTTCAGTAACCAAAACCGCTGCTTATTTATAAATACTGAATTATGAATTAAAGAAGGGCAATAAACCCTATTGTTTTAATCCATATTAATTAAATGATTTTCCTATAATAAAATTTGAGCAGAAATTTTCCAGGTAGCTTGATTAAAAGCCCGTATGAGATAAAAGCCTGAAAAATGCCCTGATTACTCACGGAGTATTACGCTGAGCCTGCTATGCTACAACGTGGATCTCTTGGGGCGAAAATACTAAATTCGCCTTATCTGGAGAATATTTCTAGCAACATACAGGAATTTTGTGAAGCAACATTCGCAACAGCCTGTCGTAGGATGAATGGCCAAAATTTATCATCTCGAGCTACTCAGTGCTTCAAAAGGCATGTTAAGCCGTTTCTCCCAGCTGCATATGCAGTATAATAATACCCACCAACGCGCACCGGACCTCGTAGCGGATAACGACCCATTCATTCCCATTCTTCTTTAGTCGATAAAATTCATTTCCATCTATAGGGAAGGCTTAAGCCAAGCAGTGGGGACATTAATAAGCTAGTGATGATGATAAACATACAAATCTTTAAAAAAAGATACAATTCTTTCATCACCAACCCTTTTACGTCCCCACTGCAGAGGCTCAGGCCTTCCTTAATGAATGGTTAAGGAGGATGGGCCATGACCCTCCACGGTGGCCAATGCGGATTGGAAGGTATTAACGACTGCAAATGCAGCCGGGACCAACGGCTTAACGTGCCTTCCGAAGCACGGAGTAGCTCGAGATAATCATTTTTTGGTCAGCCATCCTGTGACCGACTCTTGCGAAAGTTGCTTAACGACAACGATCGCGGGCCGTAGCGCTTATCCACTACGCCACCGAGCCACTACATTTCTTTCCTAAAAATAAATTTTTAACCTATTTTAGTCGTTAATAAACAGCACTACGTTTTTATGTGAAAGAAAAGTCAAATGATTTCTCTTTATAATTTTACCTAATATAGATTATTTCCCTAACTTGCAAAATCCATGTTAATATACTTAACACGGCATACTAACAACACACCACGTAATCCAAACACGTAAACTAAACACTGTGCATACCAGAATAGAGACTCGTGTTAAAACTATAAGGTTGTATTGTCACATTATCGGGGGACCTCTGTCGTCGAGGGTTTAGCTCTTTGTCTTGCGTCTCACAGTTATCTCCCTCGAGTGCAGTGCCTTTATTACAGCCTCTACTAATCCGGTTAGAGACTATTGTATCGAATGTTCTAGTCGCTTCACCTCACACAACAATAAGTAACAACACTTACCTAATTACGGACGTCTGGATAAAAGCATCACAGTAAATTAACGGTATTTGTTGTTAGTTTAAAAGAAAACTTGTTAGTTTAAATGAACATTATTTCCGTGACGATACAAAATGTTTTAACAATAGCATTGTAGAAAATAAAGGAATGCATTTTAAAAAGAAGAGAAAAAACAAAATTCCCTTGGATATTAATATAATATATGCAATTTAATAGAAACACGTATACAACCTGTCTGTCTCGGTTGTGTCGAATAGGAAGTTGCATCAATAAAGGATATCGGTGTATAGTTTCGTTGTGCGATCTTGTAAACATTTTAAGCGTACTACTAATTTCCTTGCTTGCAGTTCTTATTTGAAGTACCATATACAGCACGTATATATTGATGAATAGAAATTGTTAAAAAAAGTACTTACGTAGAATACATTTAAATTTTTTTCGTTTTTTATTACCCTAGACCTATTGAAATACACACGAAACTGGTTAATAGTTTTGATGTTATTTAGCAACATGTATGTCATACAAATAGAGTATAAAAAAGTATCAAAATTTAAGATTGAACCAAAACATTTCAAAATGCTTATTTAGTAATATAGCAAAAAAATATATTTATAATTACAAAATGATTAATTATTCCCATTCAAATAATGATACGGAAAACATCTATTTTTGTTAATATATAAATGTTTTTCAATTGTTATGTGGTCATCGAATAGTGCAAGTAATAAGCTTCATATATTACACAGCCAGTACTAATTTAGTCGATGTACACACGCTTACCGCAAACGGAATATCTAATCCAGCCAAATTAGGCTTACAGGCGTAAAATATTTAATAGTGCCATAAACTACATTCATTATCTCTCATAAAAAAAATATTACCGTGGTAGTAGTAATTAAAAAATGCGTTGTGATGATTAACCATACGTAACATTAAAAAAGGTTCAAAATTCAGAAAAATTACCTGAAGTTCTTGTGAAAGAAATTAAGTTATAACTGCTGTATTTAATTATGATGCACATTAACATTCAGCAAAAATTACAAGTATTTACTTTTCGTGATAAAATTTCCTTAGTCATTACACGTATTCCATAGAAATCTTTCGTCTGGCTTTCGAAGCAACGGGCTCGCAGTAACGTAACATGTCCAAGGCAAACGATGCCATTCTACGTGGAGTCACGTGACTGAACTACGTGCGAGAACATGTTTTTTATCCACAAATATTCCTGAACCATTTTTTCCGTTGTACTTTTACGACGCAAAAGCGTGAGAAATATATAAAGACCTCTTTGGTGTGCAAAAGTTAAGGTTTTTTTGCCATTAAATAAGAAAAGGTAAATACATAGTATACCTATTTATTTTTTACATCGTCAATATTAGACGTAATCTTAATTTGATCAATTCCCAAACTATAACAAATGCGTCCATTACAAAGCTTTGGGACTTTGATATCGCTATATATCTGTTTACAGGAAGTGAATTAAGTTACATACGATGTAGTGTTATCATACCTGATAGTGATAATAACATCCTAGATATTTCCAAATCAATGACAATTATTTGATAAAAATAATTCTAAAAAGATGTTTGTTGGTTGTTTTGGGCTTATTAGAATTAGACGATCACGATGAATTTCTCAACAGCAATATTTAGTTTCCTAAATTAATTTGCTGAAGTTCTAATAAATTAAACTAGAACATTATTATAAACTTACCAATGTACTGTTTCCATAAAGAGTGTCATACGATTCCGCCTTCGAAGCGACATTTCTCAACTTGCAGGGCTTCTTCAGCGGCGGTGGTGGCGGTTGCTTGTGCGGGGATGGCTGGCTGGCCACGTGGTTTGTATTCTTCTCCTTCACCAGCTTGCTGTTCTGCAGATTATTCTTCGTGAAGTTGCCGAGCTGCTCGAACATACTCGTGAAATGGTGGGACATCATTTTGACTGTCTTTCGTCTTTCTTTATTGGAAATTACCCGAAACCGAAACGGTGTTGCATTTTTTGCACACTACTTTTTAACATTTGGCAGCCACATTATTTATCTGTTTAGAATTTTGCGAAAGTAAAAAGTCGTCTCTTGAGATGTAAAATTCAGGTAAAATAAATTACTAGACATCATTATTACTATGCGTTTCCTTTACGAAACGTCATTGTCATATTGTTTCCTCAAAATAAATCGATGTTACATTTAAATCGATAAACAAGTTAAGGAATTATTATTGAGTTGTATAAACGTGTATACAGGAAGCAAGATGTTCAGCAATTGTTTTTTTTTTTCAATTAAAATAAATTACCCAACCTGTTGTAATTTTACTCGAATGTAATTCGGTCACCGATTGAAGTTTTAATTAATGTTTTAGGGTTGTCAAATACACTTACCTATTTTATTTCATGTGTTATATAATTAAATTATATTTACATTTTAAAATAATCTTCAGTTTAAGGTGCAAAAGAAATAAAATTCAAATGAACTATAATTAACAACGGGCTACTACTTCGCCGTATGAGGTTATTAATTGGCCGAATCTTCTTTAATATAGAATGAATACAAAGTTATACCAAACATTGAACATGATACATTTTTTTACAATAAAAAATTATTTATGTGTCACTGTAGGTATAGATTTTATACTGAGAAATTAAACAATGACGGCTGCGAGTAATTCATTACAAAAATCATGTTTGATGCTCTTTTCTGAGCCTGATGCCCACAGTCATTTGTCTCTGTTAGTCCCAATGATGAGCCACATGATTTATTTATAAAATGAAACAGCATATAGTTGTGTATAATTACCAAAAACATACATAAGTTTAGTGTTGCAACTTTCCTAAACACAGTAACGGGGAACAGGTTGAACGAGGGCGCGTCGCACTAGACAATGGTGACGTTCCGATACTGTCACCCGGATCCGGCGCTCCGGCCGCCGCCGGCAAACTTGGGGTAGGGTTACCCTACATTATTTCTGATGCAAATCGCCATTAAGACTTTCTAATTTATGTCAAACATTTTTATTATTGTTGCATACATACCTTATCTAACCAAAAATATTATCATGTAAAGTGTTTCCAAAACTTGACCTTAGGGATCGCACTCTCAAAGAGTCATCAGATCTTGTGTGGAATCAAGTTCTAACTACACATTCTCAACATCTTAGGTAAAATAATGTGGTTTTGTCGTAAAATAAAGTAAGTCGTTTGCTCTACTTAAACATTCATATTAATACTTACGTGTATTTTAAAAATTTGTTGTTTCGTATACACCCAAAAACCTTAAATATAAAATATAAAATATTTTAGTTCCTTTTTCATGACACTTAATTTAATAATCATCGCAATACGCTGTGATTGTTACGCCACACAGCATTCTGTTAATGTTTTATTTTAGAAACAAGGTTACATGTTCAAAGAAAACCAAAATTATCCAAAAAAAAAAGTAAGGGATAATATTATAAATATAGAGACCATTATTTTGTTACTACCGACAGCCCTGTTGGAAACTCATGAATAAACTTCGCAAGCCATTAGACATATACAAATAGAAAATTGTTAACAAGATATATAAAGTATTCAGAAAGTTATTATACTAGTCCATTGTGTTACATTGTTATTTTCATACAATACATTTTATATAGTTTCACAAGGATCTTTATTTGGTCCCGTGGTATATATTCTCTATACCCATCACAAATCACAAAAGACACAGCCAACCAAGCCAGTCATAATAAATTCAAGCTGAAGCCCTCAGGAATATCTGAGACAACGTAAGTCTGCAGATTTAACAATCAGACCTGAGACAATATAGAAAAGTTTATTCTTAATGAAAAATTCTTAAAAAAAATCACTTTTCCCCTGGTACACTAAGATGGGATCATATGGAATATTTTCTAGTATAGCAGTGTGAATGTCAAATTTATCAAATTTATTCATTAGAAAAGTTTTCTTTCGTACATTGACTCGACGGGGAATCGAACCCGGGACCTTAGAGATGGTGACACCTTGAAACCGTACATAATCTCAATGTCTAGTATAAATGATCAAATAAAACTAACTCAGTCAAAATTGTATTTATTATTTACTGTTAAATTAAGGAAGATTAATAATCCGGGGAAAAACGACTGGAAGACACAACTCTACCGCATGGAGACATGGAGACGAAATATCTTATGTTTCATCTAAATCGACAACAAATATCGTATAAAAAGTATAATAAATAACACAAATTATAAAAAGCTATATTGTTTTAGGACATCAATGCAAACTTACAAGAAACTGCTAATCTACAATTGTAATCAGCTGTTAAATCAGAAAGTAACACGAACATCCAAATTTTCAGCGATTAAACAATAAAAAACATACAATCAATATCCAAAATGTTATGGCTACTGACAATGAAAACATCTAAGAACGAAATATCAATTGCACCCTAAAAAATGCTGAACGTGTTTACAAATGAACTAACTGTCACATTCACACGATCAAATTTCTAAATCTATTTCAATATCTATTTCAATATAGGATACTTGTATATGATACAAATATCCTAGAAATATAATATTGCACGATGAGAGCACACTATAAAACATCTGCTAACAGAAATATACTGATTGTAGATTAGAATACTGTTCATTAAATTAAAATTTTAAATTTCCATAACCAAAGAGTTCTTAATTAACACTACTTCAGGTGAAAAATATAATGAGAAAACTATAGTTTTGCTGTTGTTAGTTCTATATACAGTTATAACTGACAATAACGGTGAACAAGTTTACAGCAGCGTGGCACTGTCTCCCGGGCAGTTGCGGGTTGTTAGGGAATCAACAAGTACCTAACTTCTAGCAGACACAGAGTACAACGGATATAATTTTCATTTCGTATAGTTTCAACAATATTATCCTTGTTAATCTGTGGTTTGTTAGAATATAATTTATGCAATTTATCTGATTTTATTATCTGTTCACATCAATATTTTATTTGTAGCTTAATAGATTCCAAATCATTTTTATAATACAAAAGATTATTTTTGGTTCTCTATGATTCTGATTTCTTTAAAAACACTTCTCTAATCATCCTTTACATTAAAAAAACTTATTTGGAGTGATATTAAAAATAATTATATATATGTGTAACATAATAAATTTTCATGAGTTATCTACTTACTCCAAAAACATAGTTAAATAACTTTACAGCTTTGATTAAGTGTAAAACTAAAACTTTAAATTTTCGGTTACTTTCCGTATGATATTTAATAATAAAATCTTTCACGTGATTCACGTGAAGTAAAAGCTCTGGTTAAAATAATATTTACAGAAAAATAAACTTAATAAACAAATAAGTTCCATAAATCGTTTATAGACATTCTATTCTTATTTAAAAGTGACAAAATAAATTCCTGCGTATAATATTTAAAAAAAATCTACTTAAAAGACTTTCAAAATCTGTTAGCGATGGATTTTATCGATTTTTTTAAAGAATAATTTAATGAAACAATGTTTTAAAAGAAAGTGTTTAGGAGAAAACAAAGCGTCCAGAAAATAAGGGACGAAGTTCCAACAAACACGCAGGGACAGATCGCAGGCAAAGTTGCCATTATCAGGCTAAAGTTCGGGGACACTTATCTACTTTCAGTTTGCCCATTGATAACCTCGCCGGCTCACTGCTCATTTAGGCATAGTCTTGTCAAATCGGTCCAATGATTATCGATATCTTTTATAAAAGTTGCTTGGAATACATTCATTTATATACTCGTCATTTATATATCAATAACCACTTGTATTATATCTATATATAGATGTATTGTGTCCGTTTTTTATTAGATAAGTAGTTAAAAGTGAAAATATCCAAAATACCATATATCTAATAGTGTTCGAAACAATAACCGTTTATTTCGTATATTCAGCGTTTGACAATCAATACAACAGGTATAAGTTATCTAATATTAAGGTTTATATTTAGGGTTAAATTAAAGGTTTAAGGTTCATCTTTAATAAGAATATACAACATGATTACAAAAGGTTGATATCACAAAAATTTAATAACAATAAAATAATTATTAAAACACATATAAAACACAAAACAAAAAAACTACTATAGTTTTGGATACCTTTTTTTAAATTGAGAGAATCTTGGTGCAATATTTCTAGATCGATATTATTGCATTGATTTATATAATGAATTGTCACTCTCAAACAGATACTAGATTCGTTTATTAAAAAAATCAAGCTTTATGTTAATTTTGTCGAATGAAATTAAATCATAATCATTTACGTCGTTTGTTAGAGCAAACACAACTTAATTAAGTATTTCAAATTAACAATACGCGATAAAGTGATACTAAATAACGAGCCTGGGTAAATAAAATGTATGTATCACGAATACCGACGTAAAATACAAGGACACGAATGTTTTATTATGACGACACGTGTGTTGATTACGCATTAAAATAATGTGCCCCAGCTCTAACGTAAAACGTTTTATAATAATGACATTTGAATACGAGTAAACATCTCATTGGTTATTACGCGCCAATATTATGTTGGTGCATTCTATTTTGAAACCGATTAACACTGTGATGTCATCTCTGTATTATAACTTGACTGGTTATGAGTTGTGATGTTGAATATAAAAAACCAGCTGTTTCCCTTCGACCTCCATGACATAGTTTCACGTAAATGAAAGGATTTTAAACGGTACAGCAGTTTCGAAGCCCATGAAATGCAAGCACACGATCGTATCTCTCCTCTTTATAATATATAATATAGATAAGAAATAAAAATTCATTGTATTGCTTTGACGAATTTCACGGTGAAACAAAAAGCTGTTCTTCGCTGTACGTGATTCTAGAGTTTTTTATAAATCGAAAATTTGTTGTATCTTGATAAGGGTATATAAGAAATCTAAAGAGAAACGGCAACAAAATTTAAAATAATCAAATACATTGTT